GGTAAGACGGATAAAATATCGATAACGCGTCTTCAGTTTTAACGTCGCACTAGCGTCGCGTCGAATGAACTGCGTACGTTTTCTTAATTTATTTTGGCGAGCCCACAGCGATCCGTGGCTAGCTTTTCGAGTGACACCTGACCAGAGACACTGCATTTGGGAAGAGAATTAAATTTGACCGTACTGATTTCCACGCATAAAACCAGGCCACGATTTCTGTCGACGGAACGAGAATTTAATGGAATTATATTAAATTCGTCAGAATTAAATTCGACTGTAGCGCGACGTATAAACTAGGCCTTAGTTCATCGACCGCATAGATTATTTGCATTGAGGTTTGTGTCTTACCTAATGCTTGTCTTCAGCGACTCCCAGTTGACCGCTTATTGAAGTCATCCGCACTAAACATTTACTAGCACTTATTTTCCTTTCTTTGGCTTTAAGCAGATACGAATTAAAAAACCCTAACTCTAAACTGTACGTGGCGCTTCTCTTAAAGGTGATTGGTGGTTTTCGAACACTAAGCTTATTCAAATACGATTATAATTTCATTTTCCAGTCTCGGTTGACAGGTGTTTGCAATGTTTCGTGTGGGAGATATTCATAGAAATGTTTTAATCAAATTTATGAAGCTTTGTATGAAGACGTCATGTCTGTTTCCTTTTGGGGGAAACAAAATATGGTATCGGGAGCTAACAAAAAGACATGTCATATATACAAAGCGTGTAGTCGTCCTATGAGCGCTCATAAACATCTATATGAGTACTTATTCTCTTACATGGACTATTCAGTTGCGAAATATTAGCGGATACAAAGTCACTCTTAGGGCCTAATTACATGAGCCGGGCTGGTCCGGTTAGCCGGGCTGATTTCTTTTGTTTTCTCGCTTTGGCGAACACCAAAACAAAAGAAATCAGCCCGGCTCATGTAATCAGGCCCTTATTAACTTACGCGACAGCATTCTCGGCCGCCATTTTCATATCTCATAGAAGTTCAACCTTGCTTTAACACAAGACAAAACTCCCCATCAAAAAGATGAGCAAAAAGATACTGAAGTCTTCGGCTGTTCTTAAAACAAACCTAACTAAATTCTGAAAAGAACTGATAATTTCTTATTTTTTAAGTTTGATGACGTTACATGGAAACCAAGAATATCCTGTTAGTTTGCCAATTTGCTTTTAACTTTACCAAGAACAGTTCACGTTTTAAAACACTGTGAAAACTTCCTTTGATTGAATTGTCAGTGGGAAATTTCCCTTAAGGGTTTTATCAGCCTATGTGATTCACTTAATTATTGATGAAGAAATTTTGATGGTTGTACAATATCCTGTTGCTTTATCATTTTGCTTTTAGCTTTAACAAAATTCCCTTAATGATTGTCAGAGGCTACTTCCCTTTAGGGCTTTATCAACCTAGGTGATTCATAAAATTATTGATGAAAAAACTTCCATGACTATCAGGGATAACTGTTTAAAACAAAAGACTGTTAGCCCTTTTGTCATTACAACGTTCAAACGTGCAGTGTAATTGTTTGTTAAGCAAACCATGACGGCGACGGCAACAAGATCTGGACCCGGTTGTTCGAAGGATGGATAACGCTATACACTGGATAAATCTCTATCCGGTGGATAGTGTAGTACGTTTTGGTAATACTTATCCGCTGGATAGTGATTTATCTGTTGGATAACGTTATCTGCTCTTTGAACAACCGGAGCCTGATTGACAAAAAAATAGCTCAGCACCTGCTCATTTCTTAGCCGTCTACGGTTAGCCAAATGTTGCAAAATTCAACAACTTGCATATTTATATTCAAGAACTAATATTTGTGCTCAAAAAAATATATTTTTATTCAACAGTTTACAATTATATTCAACATTTTATCAGATACAATGAATATATGAAGTTCATATATTTTTGAACTGCGGTATTACATACGTATCCTCGCAGTAGATAGCGCTATTTATGCAATAGCGAAAATCAGACCTGAAAAAAATCAGGCCTGTACGGGACTCGGTCAGTGGTTCGAGTCCCGTACAGGCCTGATTTTTTTCAGGTCTGATTTTCGCTATTGCATAAATAGCGCTATCTACTGCGAGGATACGTATGTAATACCGCAGTTCAAAAATATATGAACTTCATATATTCATTGTATCTGATAAAATGTTGAATATAATTGTAAACTGTTGAATAAAAATATATTTTTTTGAGCACAAATATTAGTTCTTGAATATAAATATGCAAGTTGTTGAATTTTGCAACATTTGGCTAACCGTAGACGGCTAAGAAATGAGCAGGTGCTGAGCTATTTTTTTGTCAATCAGGCTCCGGTTGTTCAAAGAGCAGATAACGTTATCCAACAGATAAATCACTATCCAGCGGATAAGTATTACCAAAACGTACTACACTATCCACCGGATAGAGATTTATCCAGTGTATAGCGTTATCCATCCTTCGAACAACCGGGTCCAGATCTTGTTGCCGTCGCCGTCATGGTTTGCTTAACAAACAATTACACTGCACGTTTGAACGTTGTAATGACAAAAGGGCTAACAGTCTTTTGTTTTAAACAGTTATCCCTGATAGTCATGGAAGTTTTTTCATCAATAATTTTATGAATCACCTAGGTTGATAAAGCCCTAAAGGGAAGTAGCCTCTGACAATCATTAAGGGAANCATGCAGCCAAAATTCTAATTAAAGGTATAAATTTATTTTTTAATCGAAGTCTTCCTCGGCGTTGCCGCCCTGACCTTTTAAGGTCCCTATTGATCCGTCTACGCATACCTGATCATTAGCCGTTGCTGTTTTCAGGAGATGGACTCGATTTATGGCTCAGTGTGAGTGAGCCTGCATTGAGATGAAGGTTAACATCACAGACACCCGAGTGAAAAACCTGGGCAATATGCCGATAAAGAGCAGGTTACTTAATTTATTTGACTTATTTAATTTTTGCAACACCACGAGAGGAATGGGTGAAAATTTAAGACTCATTTAAAGGAGTTAAATGTTAGTGTTATATTTTCATAAAATCACAAAACTAAATCTCTAAAGTAATAATAACTAGTACATTTGACAAACGTTACACTCTGCCTAACCAATAGATATTTCACTTTTAAAAGCATTTATTATGTAACTACACTTCGTAGAGTACAAATAACGCCATAGACGAGTACAAATATCACGCGGTATTTGTACTCTAGAGTACTGGTTAAACAAGTTTTCTCGCATCACGCAAGCGAAGAATTGGATTGTAGTTACGAAGAAAAACAATGACGGACAATTTGATTCATATTTCCGACGTCGAAGATTCAGAATGGCTGGCAAATATAGATCCAAGTTTATCAGATGAATCGAACGAAGAAAAACAGCTAGACGATCAGGAAATTTCTTCATTTATTGAAGAAAATGGAAACAGCAACATGACAACGCGTCCCTGACCTTTTAATTCCGCTTCGCATAATTCTGTCACGCACTCCCCGTAAAGAAATATCCGCGAAATTCGCCCGTACATGCACAGAAAATAATAGTTTGGCGTGTTGGATAATAAATAACTTATTAGTCGTTTTGTTGTGTAGTATCGCCGAGTATTTTTACTCGTTATTTGTATTTTGACTCGCTCTACGAGCTTGTCAAAATACGGCACAACTCGTAAAAATACTCAGCGATACTACACAACAAAACGTCTAAGAAGATATATTTACTTTCCAAGCTACTTGTATCATGCTTTTTGTAAGTTACAAAACGTTCTACAATTGTTTACTTTGTTTCTCGTGTTCAGTCTGCGTAGGACTGGTACCGGTACAATTGCGTCATTTAAATTGTCAAATATTATGGGATGAACCATGTGCTCGTACTTGCAGAGGTCATTAATTCGTTTTGAATGTTCGATTGTTTTCTCACTAGTTTATTCACTTATTCCTCGAGTCCACAAATCTTGTAAGTATGTTTTCACTGTAGTTTTTTCGTTTCGCTTCGTTTTGTTTACATTTGTTTTCTTTTTTGTACAGTTAAACCAGATCTTTGTAAAATAAAGGGTTATTCGAATATTTAAGTCTACACTTTTAAGCAACTGTTGTAACCGTTGAGATAAATATTGAAACCTCCTCAGTACCCGAATTTCTATCGGATTTGATGCTATTGTCACTATCTATGGTCATAAGCAGTGGAAGTTTAGTTCGCGGAATATACGAGGCCTTCACGCACTCCCTTTGGCAAATTTTGAGATATTTACTAGGGTGTTTGAACCGGTTTCTTGATAATAAAACACTTAAGGCTAGCTCATGCTCAACACGTTCTCATGAAGTACCTGCTAAATACAACTTGGAAAATGCCGTGGCAACTGATCAACTGATAATTAACTGATAGGTTATTAGTGTATTACAACCACAACGTGCAGCGTGCAACGTGCAGCTAGATTGCTCCTTCATGCCGACTTCACTCAATCATCTGTAAGCTTATTTTCCAAACTCAAATGGCTTCCTATTTTCGACCTTATAAAACTGAGAAAACTTGTACTTTTATTTACTATCCTCAAT